GAAGTAGACCCGCATACAGTCAACTGATCAAATATGCAAAGGCAATTCAATGGAGAAAGGATAGTCTTTTCTGTAATGATTGAATGTACTGTAATCATTGAATGTCCATAGGCAAAAAAAGTTAATCTAAACATAGATTTTATACCCTTTACAGAAACGAATTCAAAGTGGATCATAGGCCTAAATGTAAAACACAAAACTATACATCTTCGAGAAGAAAATATAGGAGAAAATCTATGTGACCTTGGGTTTGTCAATGAATTTTTAGATACAACACTGAAAACAGAATCTATGAAAGAAAAAAAAAACTGTTAAGTTAGACTTTATTAACATCAAAAACTTCTGCTCTGCAAAAGGTGCTGTTAAGAGACTAAAAAGCCGGTGGCGCCTGGGTGGCTCAGTTGTTAAGCGTCTGCCTTCGGCTCAGGTCATGGTCCCAGGGTCCTGGGATCGAACCCCGCATCGGGCTCCCTGCTCCGCGGGAAGCCTGCTTCTCCCTCTCCCACTCCCCCTGCTTGTGTTCCCTCTCTCGCTATGTCTCTCCCTGTCAAATAAATAAATAAAATCTTTAAAAAAAAAAAAAAGAGAGACTAAAAAGCCAAGCCACAGGCTGAAGAAAATATTTGCAAAACATATATCTAATAAAAAGACTTGTATCCAAAATATACAAAGAACTCAAAACTCAACAATAAGAAAACAAACATCCCAAATTAAAAGTGAGCAAAGAGATAATTCACCAGAGACAAATAAACATATGAAAAGATGCTCAACATTATTTGTCATTAGGGAATCACAGTTTAAAAGAATGAAAAAAATGAGCTAACACTACATATCTATTAAAAGGACTAAAATCCAGGACGCCTGTGTGGCTCAGTGGGTTAAGTGTCTGCCTTTGGCTCAGGTCATGATCCCATGGTCCTGGGATCATCAAGCTCTCTGCTCAGCAGGGAGCCTGCTTCTCCCTCCCGTTCTGCCTGCTTCTGCTCTCTCTCTCTGTCAAATAAATAAATAAATTAATTAATTAATCTTCAAAAATAAAAATAAAATAAAATAAAATAACTAAAACCGAATAAACTGACAACACCATTTGCTGATAAGGATGCAGACAAACAAACATTTTCACTCATTGCTGGTGGCAGTGGAAAATGGTAGAGCCACTTTGGAAGAAAGTTTGGCAGTTTCTTACAAAGCTAAACATAGTTTTACCATATGACCCAGCTCCCATGTTCCTAGGTATTTACCCAAATGATTTGAAAACTATGTTCACACAAAAACCTGCATGCAAATGTTCAGCAGCTTTATTCACAATTGCCAAACACTAGAAACAACCAAAATGTTCTTCAATAGGTGAATGAATAAACTGCGGCAAGTGAATACAGTAGAATATTATTCAGTGATTAAAAAAAGAGCTATCAAGCCATCAAAAATTATGGAAGACCCTTAAAGTGCATATTGCTAAGTGAAAGGAGCCAGCCTGAAAAGCTATATACTGTACGATTCCAGCTATATAACATTCTGGAAAAGGTAAGATATACAGTAAAAAGGCCAGTGGTTGCCAGGGGTGAGAGAGGAAGGAGAAGGGTTTAATAGGTAGAACACAGAAAATTTTTTTAGGGCACTGAAATTCCTGTATGGTACTCTGTGATGTCCTAGTGGATACATGACCCTATGCATTTTTCAAAACCCATAGGATTTTAGAGAGCAAAGAGTGAACTTTAACATATACAAATTTAGAAAATCATTTAGGAGACCAAGGGATCCCGGGATGGAAGGCAGACTGACAAATAACTACAACTGTATTACAAATGTATGTGACATACACAAGAATTCTAAATTAAGCTATTAAGCCGTTTATTAGAGACTTCTAATTTAATTGCATGGTAGTCAAAAGACAATTTCTGACTCTTCTTTGAAATTTGCTGAGTCTTGGTTTCTTGCCTGGTACATGATAAAGTTTGATAAATGTTCTAAGTATAGGCATGAGAAAAATGTGTATTCTCTAGTGGTTAGATGCCGAATTTTACAAATGACCATTAGAAAAAGCTCATTAATTGTGTTATTCAAATAATCTTGATCTTTGCTAAGTTTTTGTATTTTTGACTCCTTGGAATAGATGCACTGAAATTTCTCATTATAATATCAGAGCTGTCAATTTCTCTTGTTAGTTATACCCATTATTATTTTATATATTTGAAGACATTTGTCAGGTTCATATATAGTTAAAATTAACATTTGTGGTGTACTGAACTTTTATCTCTAGATAATGAATCTCTCTATTCCAAGTGATACTTTATCTTTTTGTCTGGTAGTAATATGGCTAAATCAGCTTTCTTTTGATGACTGTTTGCCTAATAGAACTTTTTTTTAAAAAAGATTTTATTTATTTAATTGAGAGAGAGACAGAGAGAGCACAAGCAGGGGGAGGGGCAGAGGGAGAAGCAGACTCCCCGCTGAGCAGGGAGCCTGGTGCGGGACTAAATCCCAGGACCCTGAGATCATGACCTGAGCCGAAGGCAGACGCTTAACCCACTGAGCCACCCAGGCACCTTGTCTAATAGAACTTTTTCCATCCTCCTACCATCAGCCTTTCATGCTTCTGTTTTAAATGTGCCTTCTTACAGGGTGACCAAATTGTCATGCAAATCAAAACTCTTATGAGAGGGTAAGGGGACACCATGAGTCATTACACCAGCACAAGGGACGTGAACTGGATGTGTTCTGGGAGAACTGGAAATTACTGGCCATCCTCTGTAAACTTTTAAAAGCCTTAATCCATGGGGCACCTGGGTGGCTCAGTCGGTTAGGTGTCCAACTCATGATTTCAGCTCAGGTCATGATCTCAGGGTCGTCAGATGGAGCCCCACGTCCGGCTCCACACTCAGTAGGGAATCTGCTTGAGATTCTCCCTCTCCCTCTGCCCCTCCCCCTGCTCTATAAATCAATCAATCATTAAAAGGCTCAATCCAACCATCTCTTTAACTAGTGATAATCAATGTACCGTGTCTCATTTCTCTAATCTCAATTATTGTCATCTGCTTTTTCTGTTTCTTTTCATTTTTTTCTCTTTCCTTGACTTCTTTTGGATTGAGGGTTTCTATCTGTTTTCCCCTTCAGTCTACCTTTTCCCACTACTGTTCTCTAGATATATCACTGGAATGGTTGTCCTTGAAATTTTATCATGCAAATGTACCTTTGAACTCTTGGTTTTTCTGTCCTACACCCTAAACAATAGAAAGGTTGTAGGATTGGCTCAGATTGTCCCCCTCCTGACATACATTATTGTTGCCCATCATTAATCTTTTTTCCCCCCACAAATGGACAGGATTTTTATTATTTAATACAATCAATAGTTGGATTTGCTTACATGTTTACCATGTTTGATTGCTCATTGTTGGCATCTGAGGCTGTCCTCCTGAGATAGTTTTCCTCCTTTTTTTTTTTTTAAGATTTTATTTATTTGACCGAGAGAGAGATAGCGAGAGCAGGAACACGAGCAGGGGGAGTGGGAGGGAGAAGCAGGCTTCCTGCTGTGCAGGAAGCCCAATGTGGGGCTTGATCCCAGGACCCTGGGATCATGACCTGAGCCGAAGGCAGACCCTTAACAACTGAGCCACCCAGGCGCCCCCCTCCTCCTTATTCTTTAGAAACTCCATTAAATCAGGTCTCTTACAAAAATGCTCCCTCAAATTCTGACTAGCTATAACTGTCTTTATTTTACCCTAGTTCTTGACAGATAATTTTGCTAACTCAACAATTCTAGATCAGCTATTATTTTCTTTTTTTCCAAAGATTTTCACTCTCTTCTGGTTTCCTTGTTGCTTATCAACTCTTGTTTCTTAACAGAAGACTGTGAACACCTCTCATTTGTCAGTGATCTGTCTTCTCTCTAGATGTTTTTGAAGACCTTTGTCACCAATGTTCTGCAGCTTTATTACAATGTGTATAGCCGTGGGTTTCTTTTTTATGGATCCTGCTTGGGATATGCTGCTTCCTGAGTCTACGGATTCCTGTTTTCCAAGTTTTTAGAAAATGCGTTGCTTTTATCTCTGTAAATCTTGCTTCTCCATTTCTCCCCCTGGGTCTCCAACTGGATGCACGGTAAACCTTGTATCTCCCGAGTCTCTTTGCCTTTCTTTCACATTTCGGCTGTGTGTTCCAATGTGCTAATTCTCTGAATCAAATCTGACTCAGTTTTTTTCCTATTAGTGTTTCCATTTCTTCTAGAACTTCAGTGTCTTCCCTCCAAAAACTTCTTTTTGCCCCTTCTTGTCATTAGTTCATCTTGTAATTACGACTTTCGGGTCTTTGAAAAGTTTGTATGATAGTGGTTCTAGAAACTCTGCATCTGACAGTTCCAACACCTGCAGTCAGGAGCTGTTGGTTCTTGTTTCTGTTTACTCAGAATGGATTGCCTTCTCACAACTTTCAGAATCTTTCATTTTGAACTCTTTGCTTGTTCTGCTTAATATCCTTCTAGTCAGTATTGCTATCTCCTTCCCCGCCTCTCCTTTACCGGCCTTTCCAGTTAAGCTCTATGATGCTCTATGCCACTCTACCATTTTGGTGCCCCAGGCCTGGCTCCCGACTTCTGTGGTCACCTGGCTACTCCTGATCCAGATATTCGGGGGGGGGGGGTGTTTGCGGGGCGCGTTGTTTATTTTTTTGAAGAATTTCCCCTGGAGATCTCTCCTACCTTTTGCAAGACTAGCAGCGCCTGCCTGTCTGTGTAACCAAAGTTTCAGCTGTGGGGAAGCTGTGGGAGAGAAACCTCCTCGGAACTTATTCATGACACGGGAAGCATAGCATTTTCTAAAACATTTACAAAATCCTAATTGCCCTGAAAATCAGGGGTGGGTGGGCCCCATGGGGAACAAATTGTTAAGTAAGAAACCAGAAGTGAAGGAGGGAACTACAAGAACATCAAGGCTGGAATCCAAACTTCCGGTTAGTGGCTCCCAGGCCAGTCTCTGATGTCTGAGAAGTGGTGTCAGCAGAGACTGAGCTGCATCCTTTCTTTGAACAGGTGGCAACAGAAAGCAACTGCAAGGTAAAGTGCAGATCCCACTATCCGTCCATGAACTTGAACCAGCTTGAGGCACCAGAACACACCCAGTCCCCGTCTCTGGAGATGCTGTTACGCAAGTTGAGGGCTACAGAAGCCCAGCAGGATGACAAGTTTGCCAACATCCTGGATGTGGTGGGGGAGTTTGGCACATTCCAGCAGAGACTGGTGGCCCTCACCTTCATCCCCAACATCCTGTTGGCCTTCTTCATGTTTGCAGACATCTTCATGTTCACAGCCCAGAAGCCTTATTGCAATACCAGCTGGATACTGGCAGTGGACCCCAACCTGTCAGAGGCTCAGCAGTTGAATCTGACCCTGCCCCGAGAACCCAATGGCAGTTTCCAGACATGCCTCATGTACTTGCCTGTGGCCTGGGATCTGGAATCTATTATCCAATTTGGCCTCAACTACACAGAGTCATGCCAAGATGGGTGGATCTATCCTGAGACCAAGAAGCGATCACTGGTCAATGAGGTGTGCCTTCTCCTGAGTTGTCTATAGCTACCCCACAGCCCCAGAGACGTGCCCTCACCCTCACTGAACAGGTGGGGAAACTGAGGCTCGGGGAGGGGAAGCAACTGGTCCAAGGTGACCTTGCAGAGGCAGAGCCATGGCAGAAATGTAGGATCCCAGTTGTCTAGGCCTGGCCTCACCTGTCTTAGCCAGGAAGCTAGAGCTGACTTGAATGTCAAGGCAAATGTCAGCGGGCAGGCTTTGCCATCTCTCTAGGGGATTGCTCCGTAGTTGTCACTCTGCCCTCTGAACTCACACAAGATAGAGAACTGGGGAAAGCAGCAGCTTTGATCAGGTACCTCTTACAGGGTTTCTCAGCCAGCGCTATAACCTGGGCTCTTCACCGCACAGACCTGCCCAATTTGAATCTCTAGGCTGGGGCCCAACATCTGTATTTGGGAAAGGGTCTTCAGTGATTCCAGACTTTGCTCAGTTACATTTTTACCTATTCCCCATTTTGGCCTGGGCCTCTGGTCCCCTCTCTCCAGGCCTCGCTCCCAGGGTCTGTCAGATGCAGGATGGGCACATGCACAGCTGCCTGTTCCTGTCCCAGGCCCCTTCTGCCTAAAGGTCCACCCTGGGTGGGGGGTGGGGGTAGTGATGGAGGGGTGTAGGCTGTCCCTGGACCCAGAAGGCTGACCCTGGGTAGAGGCCTGTAGCCAATCCTGCGTAAAACCCCCAGTTTGACTTGGTGTGTGGCAAGGACCGGGACACGGAAGGTGTGCAGACCATGTTCACGGCCGGCCTCCTAATAGGGTCTCTCATCTTTGGGTTCGTAAGTGACAAGTGAGTGTCCCGGAGTTCCCTCTGGTCCCTGGAAGCCCCTGCCTCCTCCTCGTGGGCATTCAGAGCTAGAGTCTCAAGCTGGGGGAGGCGAGGGTAGGGGCACTCTGGAAGCCTACGCACGGCTCAGGACCGCCCCGGGTGTCGGGCCGGGCCAGCCACGGAGGTCCGCGCTTGGCGCAGCCTGCCTTGGACGCCCGCAGGCTGGGCCGCTACGCCACCATCCTGATATCGCTGCTGGGGCTGGCCATCTTCGGCTTCGGGGCAGCCTTCGTCAACAGCTTTCACCAGTACCTGTTCTTCCGCTTCGCCGTGTCCCAGGCCCTGGTGTGCTACGCCATCAGCAGCGTGTGTTTAGGTGAGGCCCAGCCGTCGGGGGGGGGGGGGGGGGGAGGCGGGAGGCGGGGCGCGGGCGGGGCCGGAGGCGCGCAGGGGCGGGGCCTCGGGGTGCACCGCGGGGGCGGGGCGAGCGTGGGGGCGGGGCTGGCGCGTACCTACGAGGAGCCCGCAGGACTAATAGGGTTGCGGCCCAATATGAGGCTGGCAGTGGAGGGAGCTTCCACACGGTTCGTCCTGGGGTTGCTGGCGAGTCTGTGCTCAGACTGCCCTTCCACCCTCATCCTCCATCCTAGCCCCCTCGTACCCCGCACATTCCCCTGTCATACCTCTGGCGTCCCCCTCACATGGCTTATATTTACTGAGACCTTCAGAAGGCCCGGGCCAGCTGCTAAACCCTTTACATGTACTGTGTCATTTCATCGTGATGTACTCTTCTATTATGCCTTTAGCAGAGAAGGATACTTGAGCCTCAGGAAGTTAACCAACTTGCTCAGGGCCACACAACAGTTACATGGAGGAGTTGGGATTTCATCCCAGGCCTGTGGGACGTGAAAGCCCCAAGTGCCCATACACTCATTCCGCTTACAGCTGCCGTGGCCTGGTGAGCTCAGGGTTCCCTGGCAAGAGACCTCTTCTCCTTGGAGTTTGTCCGAGGGAACTGGCTTCTTCACAGAGCCCTAGGCCTAGGTGGCCAAAGCCCTGAAGCACTAAGAACAAAGATAAGGACACAGACGCCTTGCCCCACCACGTGTCAGGCCACCTGTGAGGAGTTGTGCGCCAAAATGGGCCATTTCTGCGAGAGAGAGACCCGTGGTCAGGCAGGAGGCGTTGAGAGGGAGCAGTTAGGTTGAGAAGGGACTGGAGGCTCTATGTGCGATTGGAAGTTCAGGCAAGGGGCCTAGGGTGTGTCCTGGGGGCACAGAGGCACCCTGCTTGGCTTTGAAGTACTGTCGAAACTTCACCCAGGTTGAACTGTCCCAAGCAGGGCTGGGGCATCTCAGAAGGCTGGGTGCTGGGGTAGCCCCAGGGATCCCGAGCTAACCATGATTTTGTCCTCTTGGACTCCGCACAGCCACTGAGTGGCTAATGGGCCAGCACCGAGCCCACGCCATCATCCTGGAACACTGCTTTTTCTCTGTGGGAATCCTGTTCCTGACCGGGCTTGCCTACAGCCTTCCCCACTGGCGGTTGCTCTTTCTGGTGGGTGGGGCACCTGTGTTCCCCCTCATCTCCTACATCTGGTGAGCAAACAGGATGTGCGCAGTGACAGGTCTGATGGGCTGGAAGTTGAGGGGTGGAGGGTCCTTGAAGGGGTGGAGTGGGTGGAATTTTCTCTTGGAGAAAATGCATGTGGATGAAATGAGAAAGAGCCCAGGGCAGAGCCTCTGGAACCCTAACATTAATCCCCATCAGAGGAGATGCTCAAAGAGATGTCAGAGAAGTAGTCAGAAAAATCGGAAGGCAAAGTGTTGAAAGGCAGGGTTGAAGGCAAGAAAGGTGATGCTGGGGAAGAGTCCCCTGGCCTTGGGGACCTTGAGCTGGCTTCAGTGGAGTGGCAGGGGTTTGAGGAAGGAGAAAGGGCTGAAAAATGGAGCCTTCCAGGAGACGACTCTTGCCACAGTGCTGGGCTGAGGTGGGCAGGGGGAAAGTGATGACGTGGTTGGCAGCCAAGACAGTCAGGGTATGTGGTCAGGTCAGGGTATGTGGTGTTCTGAATGGTGGGGAGTCAAAGACAGGAACCCGAGACCCCCAAGCTAGGAAGGGACACGTGTGATGGGAGAGGGAGGGAAGAGAAGGCAGATAGAGAGTGAGAGGAAAAGACAGAAATCACCTGGTTAAGGTGTAGAGAAAGGATCAGGTTTCACCTTGACATCATCATGTTTAATCTTTTCAACCCTGAAAGAAGGATGTGAGTCTCATGTCCTGGGGGCTGAAGGGGTGGGGGTGAGAGGAGAACTGAAGCTTCAGAGGATCAAAATAACTTGCCCAAGGCCACACAGCTACAAAGTGGCAGACCTGGGATTTGACTCAGCCTGTGTGGCTCTGAATTTTACCCACTGCACCATACACAACACGGATTGTAAGAGGTGGAGTTACCGGTTAAGAGGGAGGGCGTGTAGGTGGCTTGGATACCTTCCAAATTCCAAAGTTGGCGACCATCTTTGGCAGTCATTGACATTCCCAAGTGTGTACTGGGGCCAGCTGATGCCAGGTGGCATGACTCTGTCATGACAGCTAGGAAATAGTGTTTCATGGCTTGACCTTAAAACATTTTTAAAAAGCAATAAACGCATGTGGTTAAAGACTAAGTAATACCAAAAGGTTTGTGGTGAAAAATAAGTCAACAATTTCAGCTCCCCTCAGCTCCCCCAGTTCCTTCCCCAGAAGCTGTCACACTGTGGACTCTTAGCTCTTTCTTCTGGTAAATGCCTACATAGTTCTACATTCTGTGAGTAGACGGCTCCTTGAATGGGGCACATTTTTCTTCAGACATGTCCTGTCAGCTGTTCCTTCACCGACACTTGACAATATCTTGGGCAGGTTCCATCTCTTCACAGTCAATTCGTTTTTCTTTTTTTTTTTCAAAGATTTTATTTATTGGGGCACCTGGGTGGCTCAGTTGGTTAAGCGTCTGCCTTCTGCTCAGGTCATGATCCCAGGGTCCTGGGATCAAGATCCTCGTCGGGCTCCTAGCTCGGCAGGGAGCCTGCTTCTCCCTCTCCCTGCCCATCCCCCTGCTTATGCTCTCTCTCTCTCTCTGACAAATAAATAAATAAAATCTTAAAAAAAAATAAAGTTGAAAAAAAAGATTTTACTTAATTTAGAAAGAGAGAGCAAGTGAGTGGGGGGAGGGGCAGAGGGGAGAGAGAGTCTCAAGCAGAGCCTGGGCTGAGCCCAATGTGGGGTTTGATCCCAGGACCCCAAGATCATGACCTGAACTGAAATCAAGAGTCGGATGCTTAACCGACTGAGCCACTCAGGCACCCCCTCTTTACAGTCATTCTTAATTGTAAGAAAAAAATCTCATTTTGGTCATTCAGACTCACTCTGAGGCATTAAAAAATCCAGTCTAGTTCAATTTAAAACTTGATCTTAGATCTAGTTCACAGCTTCTCCCTGGGGGCTAACCAGCTCAGGCTAGTGTTCTGACCTTGGCCCTTCCTCCTTTGTCTATCTGCTCTGATCTTCCAGGTCCTAGGCAGGGGCTAGAGCATCAGAGAAAAGAGACAAGTGCGCAACAGGGGCTGTTATCGGTGGTCAGTGTCCTCTGTAGGGCAGATATTCGGAGGCAGGTGCCTTCGGGGCCCATGTGTGGGTCTTCAGGGGTCTACTTGGTGTTTCCTAATGCTCCAGGCACTGTCTTTATGACCTCTCCACACTCTGTCTCTGGCAATTCACCCATAGCCTCTTTCTGCAGAGGTCTCCTTGCCCCAGCACATGGGGTGCTTCAAGATAGCAAGATCCCCTTGGCCAAAAAGACTCTCACCACCCCCATTCCCCAGCCTGCCATTGTGCGTGTCTCCCACCAACTTCCTGTCTGATCATATCCAGGGGAGGGGGGGGGTCCCCCATCTCTGGGTTTGCATTGATCCTCCAACTTGAGGGCATGTGAATGAACTCTCCCTGTAAATGACTGCCTGCAGCACAAGGCAGCCCCCTCATTTCTGAATCAGTAAGCTCCAGGCAAAGAGTGGGAGGGCAGACTCCCTTTCTCAAAGGTGGTCTCCTTCACCAGGCTTGAATAAATGAAAACAACCTGGGGAAGGGAAGAGAGTCTCACTGCCATGAACTGGAAATTTCCGGCCTGATTCCGTGGCTGGGGGAGGTGGCTGCTGGGCTGTTTTGTATTTTTATTATTATTATTTTAAAGATTTTATTTATTTATTTATTTATTTATTTATTTATTTATTTATTTGCAAGAGAGCACAAGCAGGGGAACAGCAGAGGGAGAGGGAGAAGCAGGCTCCCTGCTGAGCAGGGAGCCCGATGCGGGGCTCGATCCCAGGACCCTGGGATCATGACCTGAGCCGAAGGCAGATGCTTAACCGACTGAGCCACCCAGGCGCCCCTTATTATTATTTTTAGTGAATCCTGTCCTGAATGTGCTAACACCTCTCTTTAGAATGTGAGGTTATCAGTCATTGTTTAATGGCCTTGGGACATCAGCTGAAATTCTAAGACAAAGGTTTCCATGTCATGTTCGGTTACACTTCCTCATTCTCTGATTTTATTATTTTCTCAATAGCATTTGAAACTTGTATTATGAAAATAAAATTGCAAAACATTCTCAAATGTTTTTGGGGATACAAGTTAGAATTTTCTTTTTTTCCCTCTTGCTCCCTACATTACCTGTGTCCTCTGGGGTAATTTTTTTTTTTCTGCTTGATTATTTTGGCCCCTTTTTCATTGAGAAGTTGTTTTTTTGTTTTTTTGTTTTTTTCAACATTTGGTGCTTTTTGGTCATCCCTTCATCGTTAAGAGTAACTTACTAAGATGCTAATGGGAAACTGTGAACAGAAGTTTATTGCCTGGCAATCTTGTAGGGCAATGCCTCTCAAATTTCTAGGAGCAGCAGAATCAATCACATGGGGGCTGGTTAAAACATCAATGACTGGGCCCTGCCCCCAGAGGGTCTTAATCAGCAGGACTGGGGTGGGGCCCAAGAATTTGCATTTCTAACAAGCTCCCAGGAGATGCTGATGCTGCTGGTCCGCTGACCACACTTTGAGAACCATTAGCACTGGGTGACCAAATGGCAGGTGCCTTTTTTTTGAGGGATCCCAAAGTCAGGGCGTTGCCTGGCTCAGGTTGCTTTGTTCCCCAGTGGACTGGGAGCGGGGACTCTTGTCATCATCACGGAGACTTCCACTCCGTTCCCCTGTGTTTGTCCTCAGCCTGCCCTAGGCTCTGGGTGCAAACCTCAGAGGGAACTGGAGTCCCGTATCTGAGGACTGGGGTGTTCAGGGTCCCCTTGCTACATGTTGGGACTTGCCTCGTGGCCACCGGCCTGGCTCCATCCACTTCCAGGCTATGTGTATGTTTGCTAAATCTTTCTTCCACCCATCCTCTCTCCCACTCTCTTTGTTGAGATCCTTTTTCTTTCCTCTAGTTTAGAGTGGGCACGTGCTCAATCTCCCATCTTTTTGAAGAAGTCCCAGGTGGGTGACTTTCTTTAGGAGAGTTCCCCAGCCTTACTGTGGAGAAGGATGGCAGGGGGACTGTCTGATGGCCCCTAGTGGAGGGCAGGAGCTGGGGCAGACAGAGAGAATGAAATGGCCCCTAATGTCAAGGGCATGTGTTTACACGGCTGGCCATGGAGTTCAGGCCGGGGCCTGGATCCGTGGCGGGGGGGGGTGGCGGGCAAGAAGTCAGCAGGGGCTGATGGCATAGTTTGTAAAGAGTGCCTAATCAGGGCCCTGAGGTCCATACCAGCTCTGCCTCTGTGACCTTGGGCAAGCCCTTACCCCCTGAGGCTGGGAATAAAATGGGGATAATCATACTAGGTCCAGGGTTGGGCAGGGATTAAACTGGATGATTTATATGTAAGAGCACCAAGCACATTCCCGGGCACCTCATAAGTGCTTTAAATGTTCACCTGTGTGGATTCTGGCAGCCTGGGAAGATCAGGAAGAACCGAGGGACCAGAGTTATTCCAAGGTCAAAGGCAGTGGGCAATGTGGCAGGGGAGAAGGTGGGACAGAGGGGACCTCTATTCACTCAGGCAGGGGCTAGGCCCTGGGGTCCCCCATATCCTCCAGGCTGTTAGGAGACAGAGAGGGAACAGGAGCAATGCCGACCATGAGAATGGGGCCCTAACAGAGGGGGTGGGCATTGGTGCCCTCAGCGTGTCTGGGCAGGTGGGGCCGAGCCCTGAGACAGAAGGGTAGAAAGCGCGTGCAGGGAGCGGAGGGGGGAAGAAGCTACAGCTGGGGCAGAGGCAGCTAGGGCCTGGGGTGACCCTGAGCGGCAGTGGGGGCTGTGTGTGGCCTGGGGAAGGGCTGACCGCCAGCAAGGGGTGGAGGGTCACTTTCAAGGCCTCCAACATCCACGTCACTTCACGTTGGCGGTCTCTGGGGCACCTTAGAAGGATGGCTAAGAGTGGGTGGGCCATGCAGGATCATGCCGGAGTCCCCGCGGTGGCTGCTGATGAAAGGGAAGCTAGAGGAGGCCAAGCAGGTGCTGTGCTTTGCGGCCAGTGTGAACAAGAAGATCATTCCCTTAAGTCTGCTGGACAAGGTAAGAGGCCTCGGCCTGGAGCGGGGCCAAGGCAGGGGCTGTGGAGGAGTCTCTTCCTTCTTCGGGGGACCTCTGCCCAGAGGCTGTCCCCAGTCCACCGCTCGAGGAGAATGGTGACAGCAAAATCGAACCCTGCCAGCGGAAGCCCAGAGACCAAGTTGGCACTTGGGGGTGAGGGGGTTGAGGTCCTGTGGGGGTGGGGAGCAAGCTGGGGTCTCGGTCTGGCCTCTGGCTGGTCCTGCTTGTCCTGTAGCTGCAGCCGCCTGGAAAGAAGGTGACTAAGGCCTCTGTCCTGGACTTCTATAACAATAAGCACCTCCGCAAGGTGACCTTGGTGATGGGTTGTGTGTGGTGAGTACTGGGATTGGCGGCAGGGACTGCAAGCAGAACCTGCCAGAAGCTCTGGTGAGGGAATGGGCAGGTGGCAGGGGGGCAAGGCCAAAGGATGCTGGCTTGGCTACAGGTCCAGAGCTCTGTGCTTATTTCTGTCCCCCATCCCCACGCTGCTCTGCTTGTCTCTGCCTCTGCCTTTATTCCTGCCCTGTCTGCTGTATCTCCGCCCCCCCTCCCCTCTCTCTCTGAGTGTCTCTCTCCTGGCTTCATTTCAGGTTTACTGTGGGTTACAGCTATTTCACGTTGAGCCTCAAGCTGAAGAATTTGGGCATGGACCTCCCTTTCACACAAGTGATTCCTGGCATCATGGAGGTGCCCGCCCGGCTCTGCTGCATCTTTCTCCTTGAGCAGATGGGGAGGAAGTGGAGCCTGATTGCGACTCTCTTCCAAGGCTCCCTTATGTGCTTGCTTGTCCTTATCCTCCCCTCAGGTACGGCTCACCCTCCCCTTGGTGCCACTCCGTCCCCCCAGCCTTCCTGCTTCCTTAGACCCCTTCCTCCTGCCCTGTTTGGCCAACAAGACACCCTGGGAGTCAGCTGGGGCACCCATGGCCCTCCTGCCCTCCTGAGCTGGTGCCGGTCACTGGAGCACTGCCCTCCTCAAGGGAGAGTCCCAAGACTGGGCGCTGGAAGCTCTCAGAAACCTGGAAGAGGAGGGGGTGCTGTCCTGAGAATCCTCCTTGTGTGGGGGGAGTGGGTGGCCTTCTTCCAGCCCGCGTCAGATCTGATGGTTAACAGATGCCCACAGATAGTCCTTCAACTAGTACCCCAGGCCCTGCCTCTCATCAATAGCCTCTGACTGGGAAATGCCTGTTATCTGGAACTTCACCAGGAAAAAATAACCTGCCCCCTGAAAATTGAGTGTAACAGGGGGCTAAGCTCTCAGGAACATTCTTACAGGGAGGCCTCTCCTTCCCAGGAGGGCACAGTACCCTTCAGCTCAGAACTAGCAAGCAAACTGGGGGTGGGGGGGTGAAGGCGCAGCAATATTTTCAAAATTGCAAAGATCCCTGGGACGATGAATATGGCCCAGGTCACAGGATTAGAGAGTGGCCGGCTGAGGATGTAGACATTAAGATGTCAGTGCTCTCTCCGTCAGAACCGCTAACCACGAGAGCCCCCTCAGCTGCTGGGGCCAGGGAAGGGAAGCCGGGTCCGGGGTCTGCCTCCAGGGGAGCCCTCCTGTTCTCTGGGGGCTAGAATTATGCGTGTCTTGTCTGGGACCCTTCCTCTCCCAGATGCTGGCCGTGTGGACCAGCTAAAACAAAATGGGGCAACAAACGCATTCTTAAATTGCTGTTGCTTGGTAGCTTTTGTAAAAAGTGGGCCTATACAGAGTCAAACAGAAATGTTTAAAACTCTCAAATGTGTGAGAGAAACTAGGAGTAGAATCCCCAACAGATAAAGCTAGATCTCCAGTTTCATCCCAGAGCCAAGAGAAGCTGGGGCCAGAGTGGGGAGTGGGGCAGCGGCGGGGCCCGGGAGAGGCTCATGGAGGAAGAGCGGCAAGCGGCCAACTCCCGGGCAGTAAGCACCAAGCTGGAGGAATGGTCCTTCCTGGATCTTTTCTTCCTCCTCTTCCTCCCTCAGAGTGCAAGTCTGGCTGCCCAGCGTTGGGGATCCTGGCTCTAGGGACCGAACACTTCCGGGCCCCCGTGCACAGTTCCCTTCTTCCTCCACCTTGCGGAGGACGGGAGGGAAGGTGGGAGGGCCCTGAGCAGGCCAGGGGGTAGGGGAAGCTGCCTCAGGTGAGGATGTGGAAGACAAGAATGAGGCTGGAGGCAGAGGTATGGGGGCTGAGAGGCCAAAGGGTGAGCAACTCTCCCACTGCAGTTGTACTAACTTCTGGCCTGGCTGGGCCTGAGTCTGCTGACCAGCTGACCAGGTCCGGGGATGAGGGTGGGGGGGTGGGGGGGGGAACTACTCAGATGCCTTCCAGGAGGGATGGAAGGAGAGCAGATGGGTGGCCCCCTGTCCCCCACCCCAGACTCAGGTGGCCATGTTGTCTGGCCACAGAGCTGAAATCCATGATAATCGTGATGGCCGTGCTTGGAGAGTTCAGCCTGGCGGCCTCAGTCTCTGTGTTCTTCATCTACACCGTGGAGCTCCTGCCCACTGTCCTCAGGTAGGCAGCCTGGCGGGCAGGGCCGTGGGGGCTTGGCAAGGGTGTGGGACCCAGACGCTCCCGGCAGTGAGAGTGGCTGAGCACCTGGTGACAGGCACGCGCTGAGTGGTTTCCCTGGATCACCCCATTACCCCCCCAAACTTCGTCGTTAGCGCTATCTCAGACAACAGAGTCAGGTGGAGGCCCGACCGCAGATGGCAGAACCGGGCAGTCTGAGCGCGGTCTCGGCCTTGCACTGCGCGGATCTGAATGTGTCTGGGCTGCTCTGAGGCTCTGGCTGAAGCTCTGTGGGGGGGGGGGGGGGGTAGGGGGGGAAGCCTGTGGTCAGGGTGGCGGCTCCCCCTCCCTGCCCAGCTCCACTGCCCTGTCTTCTCGTGCGCACCCACCGCGCCTTGGCTTTTGCTTCTCCTGCTCCTGATCCGTGGAGCAGGCCCCCAAGAAATAACCGCCCGCCCTGGATCAGGGGGGAGCCAAATGCTCCACGGGCACTTGGTGAGTCGGGACAGGCTGGAGACTGGAGCATGTGAGGTTTGGGGAGCTGCTGCTTCTACCCCACCTCCACCCAGCCTCTGGGCCCAGGAGGTCTCCTAGATGAGCTCTCACCTCCCCTTCCAGGGCGACAGGTCTGGGGCTGGTGTCTCTGGCCTGGGCAGGTGGAGCCATCTCATCCCTGGCGGTCAGCCACCAGAAACTCACCCTCCTACCCATATGTCTCTGCTGCATCTCAGCCGCCCTGGCCTTGTTCCTCTGCTCCCTGCTACCGGAAACGCAAGATCAGGCTCTCCCTGATAACCTGGAGCACTGGTTCCTGCAGACAAGGTAGGCGGGTGAGGCCCCTGGCCCTGGCCCCTGAGAGTGTGTCGGACACCGTCCACCCTGCCTGCGGGCCAGAGGGGCCTGTGACACCAGGGCCGCTCTGGGTCTACAGCAGTCTCCCCAGCTCTCCTGGATGTCACCACCTACCTCCTCTCTGCAGCCTGGCCTCTGCCAGCTTCTATCCTTTTGGCTCTCCTGACCAGCCTGGGCCAGGCCTTCTCCTTTCCTCCCCTTCTGGCTGCTTGTCTGGCCTGGGTGCTGGCCCTGGAGATGGCCTGGGCTCTCTCCCTCCCAGGGCACAGGGCCTGGCTGGGGACCAGCTCTCCGAGTACCTCTCCTTTCCTATCCGAACTCTCAGCTTCTCAAAGAGGACCCGGTCTTGATTCATGACTCTGACCTCAAGGCTCCAGCAGCCCAGAGCCCCGTTTGGGCACTTCTGGCCTCATGATTGGCAGAACCATGCCTTCTGGGATTTGCGCCAACGTGGCCCCTCGCTCTCTCCCTGGACCTGAGGGGACCCGAGCACCAGTGAGAGGCAGAGCCTACCTGATGTCCTCCACCTGATGCTCATAGCACAGGGTGGCTGCCTCTGGCCATCCTCTGCCCTCCTCCCCACCATCCTGCTCCTCTTTGCCTCCCTCCTCAAACTCTACTGATACCATCTGTGCTAGGCATTGTCCCCAGGCTGGGCTGGCAGGTGTCCAGTCTTAAGGGCTATTTTATGGGGAGAGAGGCGCGCCAACAGTTTTCCCCTGATGGGCTCTGAGGGAGGGATGCACGGGACCTATAGAAGGCCCTGGAGGGAGGAACTTCAGTTTAGGGAGCTGGGGCAGGCTTCATAGAGGAAGTGACATTGGGGGAAGGCTTTGAAGGATGAAGAGGCGTTTGCCCCGTCGCAGGGAGGGGGAATGCAATGTAGCAGAATCACTAAGAACACAGACTCTGGAGCCGGAGGGCCTGCACTTCTGTCTCTGCTACCACTTCCTAACATGTGCCGAGGAGAGTTACCTAATGCCTCAGAGACTCAGTTGCTTCATTTGCAAAAGGGAATGATAACAGAGTAATAAAAATAGCTAACGTTTACTGAACCTTTACCGTGTGTCAAGTCGTGCTCCATACATGCCTTTTCATACATTGTCCTAACAACAGCCACGTGCAAGATAGGTCCTGTCACTACCCCCCATTTTACAGATGAAGAAACTGAGGCATAGAGAAGCAGAGACATGTAGCCCAGCCTTTCTCTGTCATGGGGCTTTGGGCAGGATTAAGCCCACATAATGTGCGTGGCGCAGAGTTCTGGCATGTGGCAAGTGCTCAGTAAATGCTAGAGATGGACCCCCAAAGATGCAGGAGCATGAAGGGTCTGGGTATGGTTGGGAGATGGCACACAGCCGGTCCTGGAGGTGAGGGTCCCTCACGGGTGCGTGACAAAGCCCACCTCTCAGGAATGCACAGCCAGGCTTGGCTACAGTGGCTTCGGAGGTACTGCTTTTCTTAGCTCCTGAAGCTGCAGCTCATGACTTGTTCTCCAATGGCTTCCTCAGGAACATGGCTGAGGACCCGTTCGCCGAGGAGGTAGTATCTGGTGATGGGACTGCGGAAGTGATGAAGAACACCATTCTCAGTTCCACGATGCTGAAATCGGACCTGGACATTCTCTCCAGCGCGCCTTGGCAGAACGCATCTTTGCACAGCAGGGGAAAGGAAACAGACCCACGGAATGACTGAGCCCCGGGCCCCCAGATGATCTCGGTGGGAGCTGAGTGGCTGGGTGTGGGGCTGTGCACTCCAGGCCACGAATTCCATGCCCAATCCAGCTTGGGGGCAGGTGAGTCCTGCTCGAAGGCCAGCCCTCGAGATCCAAAAATGGCCCCTCCTGGGCGAGCTAGGGTGTGATTCATTCTAATAAAGGTCATGTTGGACTTGAGATGGCGAGGTCAAAATTGGCTGTGTGTGGAGAGCCCAAAGACCCAGGCCTGGAGGAGGATGGGTCGAGCAGTCTCCCTAGAGTCCTTTCTGTCCTTAGCTAAACTTGGGGACAGCGAGGGGCTCTCTGTATTGGGGCAGGGGGTTGGCTGTGTCTGTGAGGGCTGGGAGTGAGCAAGGGCAGGACTGTGCCCACACCACCCACATCCTCTAGCCCAGGCGTCTGCTAGCGTGGGGGGGCTTCCAGCTCATGTGCAAGCTGACATAGACTTCAGCCCCGCCATACGCACCTGCCAAGGGTGGAATGTAAAGGAGTAATGGCGACTTTTCCCACTTGTACCAGTGCACAGAGCTTTCTCACTCACTTTTCCCTTTGACACTCACAAATAAGCATGGCCTGGGGATTACCCATCTCAGCCTCATCTTTTGGGTTCCTTCCCTGATGGCTCTGGCCTGGCTCACCTCTGACCTCCACCACCCTGAGGATAAGCCCCTACATCCGGCTCACAGTCCCCACTACCCTGTTGTGGGGGCTTCCCCAAACAGGGTCCGGGGCTCCTCAATGATTAGCCAGACCCAGAAACCTTTAGGTCAGGCCCTGGGCCCCACATCCTCTCTCCAGGGGAGGGCAGAGCCTGGTCCTTCTCCTCTTTCTCGGCTCAGTTTCTTGGAAGATCATCAGCTTGCAGGGAGGAGCTAACTCCCCGGGGCTTTGGAGAAACGGACAGAGAAGAGTGCCCACCCTCGTGGAGCAAGGGCAGCATGGGCTCTTCTCGTGGGCAGGGTTGGAGGGCAGCACACAGCGACGGCTCCTAGCACCTGGCCCGAGCACACTGCTCTGGGGGAGTGTTCTCAAGCTTCGGCACAGCAAGAAGCTGGTGCCCACGCCTTCTCCTGCCCAGGATCATTTTCCCTGTCCCTTGGTTTCTTACCGAATTTCCCACGATTGCCTCCCAAGTGGGGTTTGAAGTTCCCAGAAAAAGGGGTCTCATAAGTTACCTGCTTATGGGACGACAGGATGTTTTAAAGGCCTCCCCTGCTCTTTCGGAGGGGGGCGTTTGAGACGTGGGGCTGGTCAGCACCCGAGCCCCCTTCTGAGCTGCTTCAACCCTGCTGTCGGCTTGCGGGCACTCTGTACATTTCAAGCAGCATCCCTGTGGGGTTGGGTTAGAGGTGACAGCGTAAGAGGCTGGGTCCCATGTGTAGGTCACTGCCTGGGCGGTGGGAGAAGTGGCCGAGCAGCTGAGAGATGCAGAAATGACTTTGCTGGGAGGATTCAGCCAGTGCTTCAGAGAACAGGAGGAGGAGCTGGGTCGGGACAGAAGGGACAGGCAGTGCTGGTGTGATGGAGCTGGTGGCCTCAGGTGTGGCAGTGGGCAAGACCCAGCGCACTCCTAAGTGACTTAGGTCTCCTGTGGGTGGCCAGGATTTGTCCGTCAGTTCCAGATAAACCTATCTCGTTCATTATAGCCATCTCAAGGACTCATGTGACTCAGAGTTTGACATTATGTATTTTAACCGACTAGACCCACGCTGTCTCACCCAACAGCCACTAGCCAGACATGGCTGCGGAGGGCTTGGAATGTGGATAATCACAGTTAAGATAATGCCGTGAGTATAAAAAACAATTTGGAAAATTTAGTACAAAAGGAAACACAGAATATCTCATCAATATTTTTATATTGGTCATGTGTAAAAATGATAAGATTTTGGATATATGGAGTGGATAAAATATTAAAATTAATTGCACCTTTTTGTATTTAATTTTTATTGTTATGTTAATCATCATACATTACATCATTAGTTTTTGATGTAGTGTTCCATGATTCATTGTTTGTGCATAACACCCAGTGCTCCATGCAAAACGTGCCCTCTTTAATACCCATCACCAGGCTAACCCATCCTCCCACCCTCCTCCCCTCTAGAACCCTCAGTTTCTTTTTCAGAGTCCATCGTCTCTCATGGTTCGTCTCCCCCTCCGATTCCCCCCCTTCATTCTTCCCCTCCTGCTATCTTCTTCTTTTTTTTTTTTCTTAACATATATTGCATTATTTGTTTCAGAGGTACAGATCTGTGATTCAACAGTCTTTCACAATTCACAGCGCTCACCATAGCACATAGCCTCCCCAATGTCTATCACCCAGCCACCCCGTCCCTCCCACCCCACCCCCCACTCCAGCAACCCTCAGTTTGTTTCCTGAGATTAAGAATTCCTCATATCAGGGCGCCTGGGTGGCTCAGTCAGTTAAGCGACTGCCTTTGGCTCAGGTCATGATCCTGGAGTCCTGGGATCGAGTCCTGCATCGGGCTCCCTGCTCGGCGGGGAGTCTGCTTCTCCCTCTGACCCTCCTCCCTCTCATGCTCTCTGTCTCTCATTCTCTCTGTCTCAAATAAATGAATAAAATCTTTAAAAAAAAAAAAATTCCTCATATCAGTGAGGTCATATGATACATGTCTTTCTCTGATTGACTTATTTCGCTCAGCATAACGCCCTCCAGTTCCATCCACGTCATTGCAAATGGCAAGATCTCATTCCTTTTGATGGCTGCATAATATTCCATTGTGTATATATACCACATCTTCTTTATCCATTCATCTGTTGTTGGACATCTTGGCTCTTTCCACAGTTTGGCTATTGTGGACATCGCTGCTATAAACATCGGGGTGCACGTACCCCTTCAGATCCCTACATTTGTATCTTTGGGGTAAATACCCAGTAGTAATTGCACCTTTTTAAGAAAAAACTTTTTAATCGCAGAAAATTTAAAACTACACATAACTTGCATTTGCGGCTCCACGTTATATTTCTATTAGACAGCACTAAACTAGAACCTTCTTTTTATTGGTCTCCCACATCATTCTTGTCACATGGGTTTCTTAATGAAATATTGAAAATTAAATGCCAAAATTGCAGGAAGCTGCACACTGCATGATCCTACGGATCTGGTGTCTTTATGATATAATTGATCTGTAGCAAACACGTCAGCCAGGGTCTCCCTGTGTGACCCGCAAACCTGTGATGCCTGTCACCCGTGGGGCTCTTGGTACCCCCGTCATGATCACTGGCTTATGTGGAACTCTGTCGCCTGCATCTCGTAGGGCTCTCTAGGGAAGATGTATCTCACCCAAGATAAATTTGTAAGTAAAAATTACTGAGCACAGGAGGAAACAAGCTGGCGTGAAACAGAAGCAATAAACCGGAGGATTTACCATAATTGTGCCATCCAGCAGGGGGTAGGGCTCTCTGAAAAGGCTTGACATTTGCTGAAATTGTTCAAAGAGATGAAGCAACCTAACTCCTAAGACACTCACTTGGAAAATGACTCCATAAAGCCTTGAAATGAACGATGTAGCAATTGAAGTTGGAAAACACAACAGAGAAGTGAAATTAGAATAGATACAACTGAAGAAAGAGTGAATTGTTGGATATTCTTTGTGGGTTGTTTCCCTTCTTGTTAAATAGCATCCCTCATCTCTACTGATACTTTTTGCCATCAATTCTAGTTTGCCTGAAATTGCATTTACTCCAATCTTAAAAGCTTCATTGAATAACATGCAGAGAAGTGCATAAATCAGTTAATGTTCCATTTTATGAGTTACCACAAGGCACTTGGTATCCATCACCCACACGGCGGAGATTAATAGCACCTCAAAGTTCCCTCCTGATTCTCCCATTCACCACCTTTTCTTCGTCCAAGGAAACTACTCACCTTCTGACAACATAGGTTACTTCTGCAGGGTTTTGAACGGTAGGAGGAGCCGCAGTTCAAATTCTTGTGTCTGGCTTCTTTCAACTCTGAGATTCCTCTGATGCGGTGTAAGAACTTTGTTTTTATGCTGTAGAGAATTCCAGTATTACGAGTTGACCACAATGTATTCATCCACTCTAGTCGTGACAAACATTTCGGTTGTTTCCAAAAGGGAGAAATGTGCTGTGATGAATAATGCTTCTGCTATGGTCTAATTGTTTGTGTCTCCCCAGAATAATATGTTGGAAACTTAATGCCCAAGTGATGGTATTAGGAGGTAGGGCCTTTGGGAGGTGATGAATGAGAATGAGATTCATGCCCTTCTAAAAGAGGTCCCTAAGGGCTAGCTTGTCCCTTCCACCATGTGGGGGCACGGTGAGAAGATTGTCCTCTGCAACCTGGAGAGGGCCCCTCCCCAGATACTGAATCTGCTGGTGCCATGATCTCGGACATCCCAGCCCCTGGCACTGTGAGAAATAAATTTCTGTTTTTCATAAGCCACCTGGTCTATGGCATGTTGTTATAGTGGTCCAAACAGACTAGGACAGCTTCTATGGACTTTCCTGTAACTGTCCTGGAGCACAGAAACACATTTCTCTAGGCTCTACTTGGGAGTGAAATTGCTGGGTTGTAGGGTACACATCACTTCAACTCTGGTCTGTCAAGCCATTCATCATCCAAAGTAGTTGCTTCAATTTACACTTTTTATTTTTATTTTTATTTATTTTTATTTTTTATTTTTTTTATTTATTTTTTATTTTTTTTTAAGATTTTATTTATTTATTTGAGACAGAGAGAATGAGAGAGACAGAGAGCACATGAGAGGGGAGAGGGTCAGGGAGAAGCAGGCTCCCTGCTGAGCAGGGAGCCCGATGCGGGACTCGATCCCGGGACTCCGGGATCATGACCTGAGCCGAAGGCAGTCGCTTAACCAACTGAGCCACCCAGGTGCCCCAATTTACACTTTTTTTTTTTTTTTTAAGATTTTATTCATTTATTTGACAGAGAAAGACACAGTGAGAGAGGGAACAGAAGCAGGGGGAGTGGGAGAGGGAGAAGCAGGCTTCCCACTGAGCAGGGAGCCCGATGCGGGACTCGATCCCGGGACTCCAGGATCATGACCTGAGCCGAAGGCAGTCGCTTAACCAACTGAGCCACCCAGGCGCCCCCCAATTTACACTTTTTAAAGGCAACGTAGAAGATGTCCTCTGTGTCACCTCTTTGATAATACTTGACATTTTCAGACTTGAAATTTTACCCAATCTTGTGGCCGTGTAATGATATCTCTTTGATTTAAGCTTACATTTCTCCCATTCCTAAGGAGGTTGAGTGCCTCTTGATAAATGTATTAGCCACTTGGATTCCCTGTTTTGTGGAATACCTAGTCAAGTCTTTTGCCCATTTTTGTATTAGGCTGTCTGTTAATCGTATAGATTTGCAGGAGGACTTTATTTGTTCTTGATGAGTCTGTTGTCAGTTATATGTGTTGCAAATATCTTCTCCCACTTTGGTTTTCCATTTCACTCAAAAAATTTTTATAGTTCCTTTTTTTAAAAATACAGGTGCCTAATTTTTCCAGGATCTCTTGTTGAAAAGAGTTCCCCCACTGCCCTCAGTGCCATCATAAATCAAGTGACCATAAATGTGAGTTTGAGCCTGGGTTCTCTGTTTCATTGGCCTGTTTGTCATTCTTGTGTCAATGCCATCTTTTCTTGGGTGCTGTGGTGTATGAAAGTCTTGATATTCAGGACATCCCACATTGTTTTTCCTTAAGAGGGTCTAGTCTTTTCTCTGCCCTCTGCACTTTCATATAGATCCTAGAGTCAGCTCATTAAGTTGCACAACAAAAATGAAAAACACCTGTTGGGGTTTGGGACTGGGATTGGGGTTGTCTATAGAACAATTTACAATATTGAGTCTTCCAATCCAAGAATATTCTAGATCATCCATTTATTTAGGTCTTCTTTAAAGCTCTTCAGCAAAGTTTTACAGGGCGCCTGGGTGGCTCCGATGGTTAAGCGTCTGCCTTCGGCTCAGGTCATGATCCCAGGGTCCTGGGATCGAGTCCCACATCGGGCTCCCTGCTCAGCGGGGAGCCTGCTTCTCCCTCTGCCTCTCTCTCTCTCTGTCTCTTATGAATAAAGGAATAAAATCTTTAAAAAAAAAAAAAAAGCTCTTCAGCAAAGTTTTATAGTTTTATGGTTTTCTTTATTGGGCCCTGTATGCTTTTTATTTTTCCTTGGGTACTTGATTTTTTTAAGCTATCATAAATACTACCTTTGGTTTTTGTTTTTAATTTCATTTTCCATTAGTTGCTGGTAGATGGAAAGGCCATCAACTTTTGTATATTAGCTTTATATCCACAGTCTTGTTAAAGAAATTGTCTCTTCCTTTCCAATGTTTATGCTTTATATTTCTTTTTCTCACCTTACTAGACTCTAGCTGGTTCCTCCAGTATGAAATGGAACAGAAGTGGTATTAGCAGGTATCCTTGTTTTACTCCTGATTTCAGAGAAGACATTCAACAAACATTTTAACATTAACTATGCTGTTTGTTGTTAATTTATTGTAGATAGCCTTAATCAGATTAATGAAGTGCCTTACTATTTTTCTTTTTCTAGGAGTTGGGTTTTTTTTTTTTTTTCCTCCTCTGGATCTTAAATTTTATCAAATATTGCCCTTTTGGAAAGGCACTTCTCCATCCCAGGAGCTGTTCAGAGTAGGTGCCACCTCATCCATTCCCCAGTTTATGGTCTCGTCCAGCCACCTGCCCAGCAGACCTACTTCTTAGCTCTGGGCAGTGTTTTATTTCTACCTCTGGGAGCCTAGGGCTGGGGTATGAGCAGAGCCTCAGAGCTGCTGGAGCTTTGGCCCCAGAGCTGCAGGATGCAGGCCTTCTCACCGAGCACACCTTCCACCACCAGCCTGGACTCCTATAGCTCACTGCTCCTGGAGGGAGTGGGAGGCTGAGGTTAGGAAGGGGGTCTGGGCCTGGAGGGTGATGGTATTTGGGGGCAAACTGACCGGTCCTGCCTCCAGCAGGCCACTGTTTGGAGATACCCTGAAGGCCACAGGGTCCTTGTCTGGCTCCTGCTGGCCTGCACCAAGGGAAGGGAGCACGCGAGCGTAGGCAGCTCCATGCGCCGCCCCAGCGAGCCCCCCACCCCACAGCTCAGGTGTGCACCTCTGGTCCGGCCCGGTGCCACGGGGCGAGGCACCCTGGGATCACTTGGGATCTGGGAACCGGCCATCTGCGGGAACCCCCAGGTGGTGCCAGCCTGCGGGGGAAGTGGTGGGCAGGTACAACCTACCCGTCAGCACAGCCCAGTAGCTCCGACAGCCGCTCAGGTTCATGAGGTCGACCTCCCGGACCTGCCCCTGGTTCACAAAGCAGGTCCCGAAGTCCACCCAGCTGGTGGAGAGCTGCAGCTCGGGCACGGCCACTGTGGCCCTCAGGGGCACCACCTAGGGGGACAGAGCCTGCAACGTGGGGCCCTCGTGCCCTCCTGCTGACCCCAAGCCCCGAAGCTTCGGAGGAACACATGGGCAGCACCGCAGCGAGTGGAAGGGGGCTGGCGCCGGCATCTAAAACCACAGCTGGTGGGGGTCTGCGCCGGTAAAGGGTCCCGAAGACGCCATCTGCCCTCCCTCCGCCGCCCCTCCCCCTGCCCTGATCAAGCTCGGTGGTTTCTGCTCCCTGGTCAGGCTGCCCTCCCCCTCCTCCCCCAGCCCCCAGGGTCCCAAGGCCCAGCCCTCTGCCCCTCCTGGGCTCTGGGCCATCTCACCTCTTCCCTTGGCCTCAGGCCCCACCTGTGTGCTGACCCGTCCTCGCTCCTGGCAGTCCCCCCACATCATCCTCAGGCACCACCATACACACCTCATCACCTCAGCCTTCCCGCCCCTGGGCCCCAGCAGCCGCCCAAGGACCAAGCTGGGGGGCCTGCCTGGTCACAAACGGATTCTTCTTCTGGCCTCCCTAGAATCCACCCCTTAGGCTATTCCTTTCTGTTCCTCACTGTACCTTCCAGCTGGGAGGCTTCACGTGCCGCATACCTCCTCCAGGAAGCCTTCCCTATTTCCCACCCTACAGCACCTCACCTGGTTCTGAGCTGAGCTAGGTAAGGAAGGATGACGCTCGTTTCTCCACGTGTGTCCTCAGGGAAAGGCCTCTTCCAGGGCAGACCCGGCCCTCAGGGCGAGGCCTGGGGCTCCTCTTATTTCGGAAGGCCGGGTCGGGGTCTGCCCTCCTCTGACCCACGAGAACAGAGTCTGGCCCGTTTCCGCCCTCTCCGACATGGGGCAGGCCTGGGACTCACCTGAGCGGTCTGGTTGGCGTACTCCAGGAGCAGGTTCTGAGTAAACACCATCTCTTTCTCCCCACTGGCGCGCTGCCGGATGTCCACCCCGGGCAGCATCTGGTCAGCTGGGAGCTTCTGGTAGGAGAGCAGCTCCAGGGACAGCGAGAAGGACACGTTCACCTGAGCAGATGTGAACAAGCCTGTCACCTGAGGCTGCCGAAGGCAGGCGGCGGCTTCTCCACCTGGAGCTCCGTCCTCCTTCCCTCCGTGGCCCCCACTGCCCGGCAAGGCCCCAGCTCGGCCCCTGCCCACACGCAGCCTGCAGGGCCGGCCCAGACTGAGCCAGCCTGGCCCGGCACGCAGCGTGTCTGGTGCATTCGGTCCACAGACACGGCGCCGCGCTCTGTGCCCAGCACCCGTTAGTACTGGGGACAGGGCCCTGCCTGCCCTCAAGAGCTGAGGACCTCGAGGGGAGACTACAAGCAAACCGCCCTTTACCCTTGGCATGCCCAGGGCTGTGGGCAGGCCTGTTGGCTAGGTACTGCCTGTGTCTTTATCCTGAGGACAGCGAGGAGCCCCTCTGATGGGTTGTAAGCAGGGGGATGTCCAAATCAGCTTTGCCTTCCTCGGAGGTCACTCTGGCTGCTGTGGGGAGGTTGGCAAGGAGACACAAGAATTAGGGGGCTGAGGTGTAACTTCCATCCAACAGGATGAGGCTCGGATGTGTGGCTTCTACACAGGTCAGCGGACCTAGCTCAACAAATGTACCTAATACCCCTGTTAAAATACAGATTCCTGGGCCACTGGGTCAAGAGCAAGTCAAAAGTACAACCAACTGTAAGACCCTTTATTAAGACTTTGAAAGATTTAAGGCTGTGCCTCCTAGACCCTTTCAACCAGAGCAGTTTAGTAGAAGCTTCTCGGCAATGTTCCGTATGTGTACTGCTCAGCACAGTAGCCGCTAGCCAGATGTGGCTAGAGTCTTAGCGCTTTTCTTTTCAAGAAAAGGAAAGATGGAAAATGAATGAGTTCAGTATTTCAATGTAAGAAGGTAGAAATAGGGTAAACATGCCCATCAAATATATAATGAAATGATAAAGAGCCGAGATTAATGAAATACAAAGGTGAAGAAGGCTGAAAGTTTGTTATTTGAGAAAATTAATTATGGAAACAAATGGAAAAACCTCTGCCAATAAGAATTCTTTAAAAAGAAAGAGAGAGAGAAGGGACAAATAAACAATATTAAGAATTAAAAGGGAGGGGCGCCTGGGTGGCTCAGTTGGTTAAGCGACTGCCTTCGGCTCAGGTCATGATCCTGGAGTCCCGGGATCGAGTCCCGCATCGGGCTCCCTGCTCAGCGAGGAGTCTGCTTCTCCCTCTGACCTTCCCCCATCTTGTGCTCTCTCTCACACTCTCTCTCTCTCAAATAAATTAATTAATTAAAAAAAAAAGAATTAAAAGGGAAAGTAGGGGCACCTGGGTGGCTCAGTCATTAAGTGTCTGCCTTCAGCTCAGGTCATGATCTTGGGGTCCTGGGATCGAGCCCCGTATGGGGCTTCCTGCTCAGTGGGAAGCCTGCTTCTCCCTCTCCTACTCGCCTTGCTTGTGTTCCCTCTGCCTGAGCAGAGAGAGAAGCAGGCTCCCTGCTGAGCAAAGAGCCCGATGTGGGACTCGATCCCAGCACCCTGTGATCATGACCTAAGCCGAAGGCAGATGCTCAACCAACTGAGCCACCCAGGCACCCGACATGGATGCATTTTGAAAACAGAATGCTAAATGAAATAAATCAGTCATAAAAGGCCACATGTTGTATGATTCTATGTATTTTAAATGGCTGGAATAGGCAAATCCTCAGAGATAGAAAGTAGATTAGTGGTCACCTAGGGTAGGGGCTAGGGGGGAAATGGGAAAGGGTGGAGAATGGGATTTCTTTTGGCAGGTGATGAAAATGCTCTAAACTGGCTGTGTGATGGGGATTAAGGAGGGCGCTTGTGATGAGCACCCAGTGTTGTACGGAAGTGTTGAATCACTGAATTCTACACCTGAAACTACCACACTGCATGTTAGCTATCTGGAATTTAAATAAAAATGGAACTAATTGCACAACTCCGTGAAGACACTGAAAACCATGGAATTGCATACTCTAAATAGGTTGATTGGGTGGTATATGACTTACATATCAAGAGGGAGGTTAGTTTTTTTTTTTTTTAAGATTTTATTTATTTATCTGAGAGAGAGAATGAGACAAAGAGAGCACATGAGAGGGGGGAGGGTCAGAGGGAGAAGCAGACTTCCCGTGGAGCAGGGAGCCCAAAGCGGGACTCGATCCCGGGACTCCAGGATCATGACCTGAGCCAAAGGCAGCCGCTTAACCAACTGAGCCACCCAGATGTCCCTGGAGGTTAGTTTTTTAAAAGAGAAGTTTTTTTTGTTTTTTTTTAAGATTTTATTTATTTGACAGAGAGAGAGCGAGAGCAGGAACACAAGCAGGGGGAGTGGGAGGGGGAGAAGCAGGCTTCCCGCCGAGCAGCGAGCCCGATGCGGGGCTCGATCCCAGGACCCTGGGATCATGACCTGAGCCGAAGGCAGACGCTTAACGACTGAGCCACCCAGGCGCCCTAAAAGAGAAGTTTTTAAAAAGAAAGAAGGTAAAGTGCTGAAGAAGCAGAGAACAAGGTGCTCTCCCGGGCAGGAGAGCAAATTATGCAACATTTCCGGAGGGCAAACATTTAAAATGTGTATACCCTTGGACTTGTAATCCCCCTTCTAGGATTTACTCCAAGGGCATCATTACCCCAGTATGAACGTATGTGGACAGAAGGATGGTCACTGCTGCTTTTTAAAAACAACTTTTAAGTCATCGCTAGGAGACATTACAGTTCAAACTAAGTAATGATACAATTTATGATAAAGCTCTATATTTCCTGACATGAATGGTGTCAGAGGCATAATGTTGTGGGAAGTAAACAGTTTACAGAACCACATGTAATACATCCAGTTTTATAAAATTTAGACATGTATTTATACATAGAAGAATGTTCATCAAAATGTTGACTGATTTCCACTGGCTAGAAGATTTTAAGGAAATATTTAAAAATTTTTATTTGTATTTTCTGTAATGTTGGAAATTTTTTTAAAGATTTTATTTATTTGAGAGAGAGAGAGAGAGAGAAGGAGCAGGGGGGAGGGGCAGCGGGAGAGGGAGAAGCAGACTCCCGGCTGAACAGGGAGCCCAATGTGGGACTTGATCGCAGGACCCCGGGATCATGATCTGAGCCAAAAGCAGACACTTAACATATGGAGTCACCCAGGAGCCCCTGTAAATTGGAAATTTTAAAAATATATATGCATAATGCTTATAAGACATTAAAGCTATTTCCAAAGAAGAGAAACATTAAACAACATTTTTTTAAGGAAAGAGGATAAAAAGGTAAGTTTCACTCATCAAGGAATATACAGTCCAACCTTACAAAAATTTTTCCAGAAGACAGTGAAAGAGAAAATAGTTGTGAACTACTTTATGAGGCTTGCAAAGTCTTGATAACAACACAGGCACAGCTTAGGACTATTTAGAAAAGGAAAAGTCCATCTCCATCTCATTCAGGAACATAGATGTAAAAATTTTTAGCAATAGATTACAAACAGGGGCGCCTGGGTGGCTCAGTCGGTTAAGCGTCTGCCTTCGGCTCAGGTCATGATCCTGGAGTCCCGGGATCGAGTCCCACGTCCAGCTCCCTGCTCAGCGGAGAGCCTGCTTCTCCCTCTCCATCTGCCTGCCACTCTGCCTACTTGTGCTCTCTCTCTCTCTTTGTCAAATAAATGAATAAAATCTTAAAAAAAAACAGATTACAAACAAAATCCAGCAAAATATTAAAAAAATAAAAATAAATTTTGACCAGGTTGAATTTATTCCTGAAATTCAAGATTGGCTTAACCTTATAAAATAGGTTACTGTATTTGGGGTGCCTAGGTGGCTCAGTTGGATAAGTGGCTGACTCGATTTCAGCTCAGGTCGTGATCCCAGGGTCCTGGCATGGAACCCCACATTGGACTCCGCACTCAGCAGGGAGTCTGCTTCTCCCTCTCCCTCTGCCCCTCCCCCTGTTCTCTCTCTCTCAAATAAATAAATAAATCTTTTTAAAAAATAGATGAATATATTTGACCACATTAATAGAATTAAAAACTATCATTTACAATCTAACATACAGTAATTTCAAAACAAACCTCTTAGCATAAACTCAAGAATGTGAGAGAATTTCTTTAACCTAATAAAGGGCATCTGTGATAATGTTCTGTGTCAACTTGCCTGCACTAAGGGATGCCCAGAGAGCTGCTGAAAACATTAGTTCTGGGTGTGTCTGTGAAGGGCTTTCCAGATGAGATTAGCATGTGAACAAGTGAAGCAGAGGGCCCTCCCCACTGTGGGCGGGTACCCTCCATTCCAATGAGCCCTCTGACATGGCACTCTGTGTTCTCTGGTCTTTGGACGCGCATCGGGATTTACATTACAGCTCCTCAGCCCTCCAGCCTTCCAGCCTTCATACTGGACTGAATTATACTAACCACCGGCTTTCCTGGTTCTCCAGCTTGCAGGTGGCTCACGGTGGGGCTTCCTGGCCTCCATAGCCATAGGAGCCGAGTCCTGCAATAAATCTCCTCTTGTCCAGCTCTCTATGCATCCTATTGGTTCTGTTTCTCTGGAGAACCCTGAATGATACAGTGTCTATATAACACGGTGCAGCAGAGACTGTACTCGGCAGTAAAACGTCACAAGTGTTTTCTTTGAGATCAGGCACACCTGTGCTCTCACTCCTATTCTGCAGCTACTCGACATCCGAGCCCGAGACAAGTAATGGGGGGCGCGGAAATGTCATCATCACAGTTGCAGACGATATGAGAGTCCCTGCAGGAAAAGTTTAAAACTCTCTGAATAAATGAGGGGCGCCTGGGTGGCTCAGTCGTTAAGCGTCTGCCTTCGGCTCAGGTCATGGTCCCGGGGTCCTGGGATCGAGCCCTGCATCAGGCTCCCTGCTCAGCGGGAAGCCTGCTTCTCCCTCTCCCTCTGCTGCTCCCCTGCTTATGCGAGCACGCTCTCTCT